TGCCCGGGTCTGTCAGTGTCAGCTACAGCCTGGTCCCTGAACTGACTATACAAAACAGGATAAGAGTTACATTTTTGTCAGCATAGGCTATACGAATCTACAATCTGCCCCACGTGAGAGGGTTAAATCTGCATTTCAACAAATAACCATAAGGGCTACCAAAAAGAAATAACCACCACCATATTATGACTCTGTTTCAGGCCTAAGTGGACAAGGGGTGTGGTGCATGTGGTTTGTATACTGCATTCCATTTTGTGCCTGTAGTCTTCAGTTCTGTGAATGTCAGAAATATCCTAAAAGATGGAGACACTGGGGCCCAGTGCAGCACATGAGCTACGGATATCAGCCTTCTGTAGCCAGCAGAGGTGTCTTTTGTGCCCCTGGGAACTCTCTAAGGGGCTTAGGCATACTTTTTGACAACGGTTTTCGGATCAGACATTATGGGTTACTATACACTACTGCTTTCTGCGTTGTGGTATTGAAGATTCAATAAAGCTTTATTTAGAGCTGAAAACTAAACAGCTGGATTTAACATGTTGCACTCTCTAGTCTGAACAGACCAAACAATCTCCTTTGTAGAGAATACACAGGCACAATACTTACTTTATCAAAACCCATAGCACAAAGGTTTTCTATTTTTCTTGTGTATTCTGGACTAGTGACAGGTGCTCCGGCATATACATGTGCCCAAAGTCGAGCTGTCTGTTTAAACATGTCTGGATTTTGCTTGTACTGAAAACAAAACAAAAAAAATCAGTAACAATACAAGAAAAACAGTGGAAACTCCCCCTCCATTACTGCGTCATAAACCACTAGAGGTGTCAGGACAATGTGTAACCTCTGAGCAGTGTCATGGCTGTGGAACATTGCTACTAGGGATGCACCAACACTGGTTTTTCGGTATCGAGGACCGATATTTTGCTTTCGGTACTCGCCAATACCGTGTACCAATACCGGTGTTTTCCGCTGGCATGGAGCTGGCTTTCCGGGCAATCAGGAAGCCGAGCGGCGAGTAACGACATGCTGCCCGGCTTCCTGATTGCCCAGGAAGCCAGGTCCATGATGATTGGCCGGCTTGATTGTAGGGATGCGCAGAAATTTCAGCCGTCGAAAAAAAATATCTACTGAAAATGGCACTTGTCCGAAAGTGCCATTTTTTGGCAGAAATAGTGGTGCATCTGTGATTTCGCGGGGAGGAGAGAAACTGTCACAGGAGGCCGAGCGGTGCGGGAGGAGGAGAGCATTGTGTGCGGCCGGCATCTCTCGTATCCGCACCGCTCGGCTTGCTGGCGGTGCGGGGGAGGAGTCAGATGTCAGATTCAGCTCTCCTCCCCGCACCGCTCGCTCAGCCTCCTGTGACAGCCAATCCAGGATGGAGATCGAGTACAAACTCTAAGCGATCACTGAATGTTTGCAAATAATTGAGAACAGAGAATGGCTACTGTGTCCCCAATAATGAATGAATTGGAGTAATCTACATGACTTCCTGTGAACAGGATCTCCACAAAAATAAATGAAATATAAAACATTTAAAAGTTTTAAAAAAAATAAAGACTTAAAAAATGTTTTTTGAAAAAAAGTTAAAAACAAAAAAAAGAATTTTCGGTCAGACATTTTTTTTCATTTCGGTTTAGTTTTTGACATTTTCATTTCGATGCACCTCTACTTAACCACTTGCTGACCAGGTGTTTACACCCCCTTCCCGTCCTGGCCATTTTTCAGTATCCAGCGCTGCAGTACTTTGACTGATGTTTATTCCGTCCTACAACGCTGTACTGAAATGAATTTGATACCATTTTTAGGGGACAGATAGAGCTTCCTTTTGGTGGTATTTAATCACCACTGGGGGTTTTATTTTTTACTATATAATGAAAAAAGTACCGAAAATTTCAAAAAGAAAAAAAAACAAACAGTTTTCCCTACGTTACGTTATAAAACAATTATTATTACCCAAATTTTTGGTAAAATATAAAAGGCGGGGTCACGTCGGGTAAAAAGACACCAAACATGTCAAGCTTTGAAATTGCACACGTGCGCGAAACCTCAAAAAACTACAATACCCAAAATTGGCCATAGGCGACGCTTTAAAAGCTTTTACCGCTCATCAGTTTAGTGTTATCAGTGATTGATGGCCCTAAAATGATTGCTCTCACTGCGACTTTCACGACGATATGTAACATGTGCGGCGTAATGGATGCAATAGTCGTTTGCATGTGTATGTGGGGGGCGGGGGACTTAAAGGAGAACTATGGGGATTTGCCACGCGATGTCGCGTTCAAGCTTGCATTGAGCAAGCTTGAATCGCGGCTAAATCCGCTCCAAAAAGGGTCCTGCTGTAGCGACACACGACCCGCGACAGCAGGACCCTTTGCCCCATTGGATTGCATTGGCGCGCGATAAATTGCTCAATGTGAACGGGGTCTCAGGATAACGGGAGGACAAACTGGCGTCCTCCCGTCACCCTCAGCTCATTTTCCCGCGAGCTACAGCTCGCGGTATACTGAGACGCCGCAGCTGAAGCAGATCCTGAACGCCGGTATGTGTTTGCTCACCTCCCGATCTACTGAGCCGACCTGTGACAGTCTCATTGTCACAGATCGGCTAGAACTATGAGGTGAGTGAAAAGCACTCACCTCATTGTTTTTTTTTTTTTTATTGTTTTTTTATTTACCTTTATATGTGACTTAATATTTTTTTTTTAACTAATTCTTTTAAACCTTTTTTTTTTTTTCATTTATCTTTATTGCTATAACATAGGGGACTAACAAGCCCCCTTTGTGATAGCCAATTTTTAGTGTCAGGTCCTCTTTATGGAGATATCAGGGGTCTTTAGGACCCCTAATGTCACCTAGGGACCCCCAGAGAAGCTGATGAAGCAAACACCTGCTTCACCAGCTTATCTCCGTTTTCTGTACCTGGAGAGTGACAGAGGAATGTGGAAATGATGTAATACACATCACTTCATGCATTCCGAAGAGGCGATCAAACGGAGCTCGTGTGCTGAGCTCCGTTTGATCTAAGGCCGCAGAGCTGCTGTGCTGGTCCCGGGCTCACACCGGAGCTCGGGATCGCCAGCAGCAGCTGCAACGGAGGGGGAGGGCGCTGCACTCCCGCACGCATGTTACAAGCGATCGTGCATCTCTACAGACGCCCGAACGCTTGTATGTAAACAGCCATCGCTGGCTGTTTACATTACAGGCTGATTTCCCGCTCGTGCCCGCCGCCTAGCGGCGGGCACGAGC